AATAATTTTAATGTAACAATAGAATATTCAATCTTAAATACTTCTTTAATTTTTTTTTAAATATATTGTAACAATGGGATATTAAACTTTTTTCATGTTTTCTAAAATAAAATCAAATTTCCAAAAATGTATAATATTATACATCATTTTTTAAATTAAAAAAAATGAATACTTTAAGAAATTCAATTTTTAAATCGAATTGTACAAAATTCTATTGTAACAATAGAATATTTTAAAATTAAATATTTCTTTCATTTTCTTAAATTAAATTTTAAAATATTTAAAATGTTTTTAAAAAAATTTAAAATATATAAATATTTTTTTAATGTCATTTTTTTTTTTAATTTTAAAGAATATACTGAATATTTTAACTCTTTCCACTCGGATGCTTCCGCTCCGGTGGCAAACTACATATAAATTTCGCAATTCGCGAGTGGAAAAGGTTAAAAAATAAAATTTTTAAATAGAATTGAGCAAAACTTTAATTAACTAAAGAATAATTTAATCTTAAATATTTTCAGTTTCTTTAAATGTTATTCAAAAAAATTAAAATTTAATTTTTATATTAAAAACATTTAAATAAATGAAAAAATATTCAAGTTTAAAAATTCTATTGTCACAGTAGAATTCTGCACAATTCTATATGAAATTTTATTTTTCACAAAACCAATTATGTATATTAATTTTTTTTTTAATATGCATAATTGTTTAAATTTTAAAATAATCATTGAATATTTTAAAAATAAAAATATTCATATGAAATTGTGCAAAATTCTATTGCGACAATAGAATATTTAAACTTGAATATTTCTTTGATTTATTTAAGTGTTTTTTAATATAAATATAAATTTCCAACAATTTATATTTTTCTTTAAGAAAATTTAAAAAAAAATTATATATATATATATATATATAATATATATATTTATATAATTTTTTTTCAATTTTCTGCCAAGACACTAATTATTTCATAATCATTGTTTACAAAATTGTTTCATAACACAATGCTATGCACCATTTAGTCAGACTTATACAGTTATATGCTGAATTCGCATAATTTTAAAAAAACAATAAACAATATAATATATATGTGATAGTTGGCAAATGAATTATATCAAAATGATCGATTCAATATAAGTCAATTACACTACACTTACATTATTCTGCAACGAGTCCCTCTCGGGGGTGGTCGTCCCCGACTCCTGTCGCATGCGCGCCCTCTCGACCCGCGCCAACGTTGGGGAGTCCAGAATCGAAGGTGCCCTCGAGGACATTACTTGTTCGACACCTTGCACTAACATATCTTAATCCAAACGACTCGACAGAAATCGATTCGGGAGATGATGGTGATTCACTTAAATTGTCACTTCACAAGCACAGTCGGTTAATCATGGTGAAATTCGAAAGTAAAAACCCGGATTAAACTTCTAACTTTATTTTACAATGAACATTACGAGCAATTATTTGATGAGAAATAAGCACGTTGCGTAAAATAGATAGCACGACGAAACGACCACTCGCCTCGACAGCAGAATTCGAACTGATTTCGAATAACGTGCTTCTGACAGAGCACGCTCCTGGTGAGCGCATGCGCCAACTCTTTCCACGGTTTCTCAAAGTATAAAACAAATATTCTCAAACTATTTCGGTATTTGAAATTAAAGGTTTATAATTTAACATTATAAACTATTGGTATATTAACTATTGGTGCATGGAATCGTGCCTTAAGACAAAGTACTGAATCATCGCGTACCAAAAATTAAAATTAAAAAAAAAGCTTTTGAAGGAAATTAGATTTTTGAGGAATTTTGAAAAAAATACTTTTTTGAAAAAAAACTCCTTTAAAACTAGGGTGTAAATCAGTACAAATGCAACGGAAGTGCGTTACGGCAGAGCCGAGTGCCAATGATTCGGCATTCGCTCTCGATGATATCATTTCTATACGGGTCGATTGTGATTAGTCGTCGCGTATGTGAATAGAGATCTGTCGTTGTATGTGTACCGGCATCAACGTTGTATGAGTACCAGCATCAACGTTGTATGCGTACCGATGTCAACAAGAAAATCAGCATAGATAAATAAGCGTATTAAAGTTACATCGTAGTACAAATGTTGATTTAATGAAAAATGCCTGAATCAGAAGAATATTTTACCATGTTCCTTGAAAATAATAAAACAAATTAAACATTTGTACTAAACGTAAGATTATTGATTAGAAATTATTTCTATATTATTCGTAGTTTCTATAAAACTTTGAAGTTATTGAGATGAAAAATATTTTCTAGGCAAGACAGATATTACAACTGCTCAAAGAATGAGATTATATCGCCAACGAAAAAGTAAAAAAAACACAAGCAGTCAATGAATGTATGTTAATTTTAATTACATGAAGTTCTTCAAACACAATTACATGATGAGTGAAGTTGCAAAAACAATATTTATTTAGGCGTTGTTTAACATAATCCACTGTGTGAACGAATATTAAATAATTTATTAATCAGAAATTACTTCATTTCTTTAATGAAGGTTTATTTCTAAATGCTAATTACAATGAAAAACCGAACATGTCATATTTGAAGTATGACTTTAATTATTGTTTTTAAATGTAATACATATTTTAATGCTATTATAAATATATAATTTATAATTACACATTATATAAATGTGTATAATGGTTACCACTAATAAATGTGTGCATCACGAGTGCTACCATATTGCTAATAAACATTATTTAAAATTGTTATATGATGTATTTATTTAACTAAAAATTGTCATCTTCAGTGGACTCTAGTTTGAAAGAACAGATAGAAATTATTAATAATTTCTATCAGACAGAAATATTTAATAATTAATAATTTCTATCTGTTCTTTCAAACTAGAGTCCACTGAAGATGACACAAAACAATGTGTCGAAACGTATGGAAAAAATAAAAATGTTTTAAAGTTCATATAAAAATTTTTAATTGATGTATTGCCCTGAAAACTGAATATCATATATATATATATATATATATATATATATATATATATATATATATTCATTCAATATTTTGCAATCAACTTATTCAAAATTAGCAATCAAGGTTATTGACTTTATTACACAAAAAAATAATCAGAAAAGAATATAAAGAAAAAAATGAAAAAATTAAATAAATAAAAATTACAAATAAAAATGAATAACTAATGAAGAAAAATAAATAAGTAGATAATAATAGTAGAGAGAACGAATAATTGAGAGTTTAAAAATCAAATTGCCCGAAGATTTCAACCTGCACAAGTACCTGCCAAACGAGCCGACAGGTTCACTTTTATGAGCAAGATGTATCAAAATAAACTTAGTCCTATAAAATTTGTATATGCGTTCGTCAAAGTAATTAGGTGCAATGCCAGACTATTCTATCCCGACTAAATCCTCACCAGGCGAGAGCCCATAGAATATGTACAAAAGTTTTTAGCCTTACAGAAACACTGTTATTTAAAAGGTTCACTAGCTCTTTGCCTATAAAATATGTAAAAAGTTAGATTTCATGTTTAAACCGCCTGATTGCACAGCAAATACATAGCTTTTTGACAGTTTTTAGTACCATTTTACCATTTTATGATTTTAAACATTTTGCATGATGTTTAGCACTGCTATTCTTTATGACTATCACTGGAAAAGGGATGATGAGGTGACAAATAAATATATAATAGTAATATAGTAAAATAAAAGAGAAATTAACTAAGTAAAAAATAAATAATACAAAAGAGATAGAAAACAGGTAAAATTAATACATTAAAATAGTAGTAGTAATAATAATAATAATAAATAATAGTTATAAAATTAATAATAATAAGTATAATAAAGTAATAGAAAACTGTTCCATTGACCACCTAGCTAATTAATTAAATAAATAAGTAAAATTAATATAAATCATTTGAAAATATTCTCTCCGGTCTTCTTGAAGTAGTGATAGTCTTGAAATGGCTTGATTTTTTTAAAGAAAAATCGCCAGTCCTTATAATATTACATTATATATATACAAGGTCCGCCATCTAACGTTTCATTTCAACTAGTGCTTATTTTGTGAATGGTAACACTTAGCTCATGTCCGAAAAGAAAAAGAGGAAAGAAAGTATTGTACTTTCGAAAAAAATTTGACAAAATATTCAGTAGCTTTTTGAAGCATTTTCAAAAAAAAAGTTATTTGGCGGACCCTTTATAATAATGCATTGTCCTAGGGCAAGAACGTACGCTAATATAAGTTAAACTTCAACTCGATTCAGTAAAGAATAGTGTGAGAAGTTTTCCATTGCCATTTAACACCGCAGTAGGATATTTTCAATTGGAAACATATTTTTGATCTATATTTTCAAGTAAAAATTGATATCACTACTGATCTGGTTATCCAACAGGTTTAGAAACATTATTCCGTTGTCTAACCTATTTTTTTAAAGGAAAATACTTTTCTCGGCGATTTTAATTTGTTAAACAATAATATTTTTCAATATTTTATTTACATAAGTACAATACAAAAATAGACAACACTACACTACATACAGTATTATAAAAATTAAAGTGATTTTGCTTATCTTTCTTGTAACTATAAAAAATTTCCAAAAAACAACTATATTTTTGTAGAAAATATCGTAGAAAATATATTGTCAATTAATTACTATCTTATGATAGGTAATACGTTTAAACCACAATCTGTGGTATGAGCCATAAATTTTAACCATAATTTTTCTAGCTCCAAAGAGCTTGTCAAGCTTTAAAAATTTACACTTAAGTTAATTAAGAATGTGAAACAAGCAAAAACATTTAAATCTAAAATAAACATTATTTAGAATCAACATAAACAAAATTCAACAACATCAACATAAACTAAATAACATATAATTCACAAGACGACTAATATATATACTAAAACACTTACTTTATAAAAATAATCGCTTATGAGCGAACTGATCACAGATTTCTATAAACCCATTTGGGACAACTCATTTAACTGTCGCCAATTTTAAATCAAATCAGCAACATTCATTGGCATTTCATTGATATGTGTGTTGTAGAACTGCTCGATGTCTTGCAGGGTACGCTTATCCTCATCTGTGACAAAATTTATGGCAACACCCTTACGACCAAAACGTCCACCTCGGCCAATCCTGTGGATATAGTTCTCCCTGTTGGAAGGCAAATCATAATTGATAACGAGAGACACTTGCTGAACATCAATTCCTCGAGCCAACAGATCTGTTGTAATCAGTACACGTGAACTGCCTGTACGGAACTGTCGCATGATAACATCACGTTCTTTTTGCTCCATGTCGCCATGCAGGGCAGAAACTGTGAAATCGCGGTGGTGCATGCTTTCAGTCAGCCAATCCACCTTACGACGAGTATTACAGAATATGACGGCTTGTGTGATAGAAAGGGTGTCGTACAGGTCACAAAGGGTTTCTAATTTCCAGTCTTCCTTCTCAACCAGAACAAAGAATTGTTTAATCCCTTCGAGTGTTAATTCCTCTTTCTTCACTAAAATCCGAACTGGATGTCTCATAAAGCATTTACTGACTTCCAATACATCAGTGGGCATTGTAGCCGAAAGAAGAATAACTTGGACATCCACACTGAGCATTTTAAATACATCATAAATTTGGTCTTTAAATCCCCTAGACAACATCTCATCAGCTTCGTCCAGCACAAAGAGTTTGATCGTATTTGTGCGAAGAGCACGCCTACTGATCATGTCATAAACACGTCCTGGTGTTCCAACCACTACATGTACCCCTTTCTCCAACTTGCGCATATCATCCCTTACATTAGTTCCTCCAATGCAAGCATGGCATTGGGCTTGCATGAAATCTCCCAAGGCAATTACAACTTTTTGGATTTGTTGTGCTAACTCTCTTGTAGGCGCCAAAATTAATGCCTGGCAGTCATTAACATTCGTCTTGATCTGCTGCAAGATAGCGATGCTGAATGTTGCAGTTTTGCCCGTACCAGATTGTGCTTGGGCGATAACATCATGGCCGACTATGCATGGCCTGATGGCACGCTGTTGAATAGCTGAGGGTTTTTCGAATCCGTAAGCATAGATTCCACGAAGTAATTCATCTTTTAGGTTCATATCGTCGAAATTATCGACGACATCATCCCAATTACTTTCGATGAGGCCTTCGGGTTCCATGCCAGCAGGGCCATCATAACCATGTGCTCCTTTTTCGGTGGATGGGCCATTTTTGGGGTCTTTCCAGTCCCCATTACTTCTTCCAGGCGCATAGGCCATGTTCTTTTGTTTGCTAAACGGAAAAAATAATAGGATAATTATCTTTATAATTAGAATAAATATTTTTTTATTCACTACTACATTTACAACTGTCTAGTTAAGAACAAATTATATTAAAGATATTACAATTAGATAAAACATATTGCAAATTGTTCACCGAGCCAAACCGACATTCCACATATCGATAAGACAAAACATCAATTGAAACCGTATAGTATATATAAATATATATACAGTGGCGTCGGAAGCAAAGTTTTGATGGGTGGGTTCGTTTATTTAGACATATTAGAGCATATCATATTTTGAGATTGATGGGTGGGCTCAAGCCCACCTAGCCGACACGGTTCCGACGCCACTGTATATATATATATAGATATATATATATATATATATATATAGATATATATATATATATATATATATATATATATATATATATTGATTATTTCTTTTCCGAACAGTAAATCCAATAATAAAAAACAATTTGTGTTTTGAAGATGTTTAATAACGACGTTTCGGAACTAGGTACGTTCCATCATCAGGTTTATTCTGTCAAATACAATGTTTTTTAAAATATTGATTAACATTAATTAATGATGGTCAAATTGTTTTTTATTATTGGATTTACTGTTCGGAAAAAAACAATCAATATATTGAAAAAATACAGGACTTATCTATTGAATATATATATATATATATATATATATATATATATATATATGAGTAAGTTCTTCAAGGGCATACATCAAATAAAAGATTTTATTTGATGTATGCCCTGGAAGAACTTACTCATATTTCTCAACATCAAAACTAACTTCTTTGACATATATATAAATATATATGATAAAAATTGTTTCTTGGGCATCCATCCAATAATTAAAAAAACAGTTTTAATGCAAAATGTTTTAATTAAGAGAACATACGTTTCGGGTCCAGATTTGACCCATCTTCAGTGCTACAAATAAATATTTCAGGGTTACAAATTAAAACAATATAAAGATACATAATTACAGACAAAAATAAGTAGAAAACAATGTATATGAAAAATATATATGAAAACAACATAAAATAAACAAAAATGTAAAGAAACTCACCATACAAATAAATTTTAAAAAAATATAACACAAAGAACAACACAAAATGCAACGAAAAAATAAGTACTTATTTTTTCGTTGCATTTTTGTGTTGTTCTTTGTGTTATATTTTTTAAAATTTATTAGTATGGTGAGTTTCTTACATTTGTTTATTTTATGTTTGTTTCATATATATTTTTCATATACATTGTTTCTACTTATTTTTGTCTGTAATTATGTATCTTTTTATTATTTTTTTTTTTGTTTTAATTTGTAACCCTGAAATATTTATTTGTAGCACTGAAGATGGGTCAAATCTGGACCCGAAACGTATGTTCTCTTAATTAAAACATTTTGCATTAAAACTGTTTTTTAATTATTGGATGGATGCCCAAGAAACAATTTTTATCATATTATTTCACCATCTGAAGAAAACCTCTCGCTTTATATATATATTATATATATATATATATTATATATATATATATAATAGTTTTTAGCTCTTAATATTAACGTTTAGATGGAGCGCAATTCAATCAAAGTTTTGTATGGAAATAGCATGGAAAATTTTTCAAAAATTTAAAAATGTTTTTTAGATGTAATTTAGCGAACAAATGAATGAATAAAACTCATTCATTTGTCGTTAAGTTATACCTAAAACATTTTTTTTTAATTTTCAAAATTTTTTCCATGCTCTTTCCATACAAAGTTTGATTGAATTGCGCTCTATCTAAACGTTAATATTAAGAGCTAAAACTTTCAGAGAATTGTTTTTTATCTATTTGGAACCATTTGAGCTCCTGTGAGCAAGGAAATTCGAAAAAGACCATTTTAAGGACCACCCTAATATATTATATATATATAATATATATATATATATATATATATATATATAGGGTCCTTGTGGTACGAAACCCATAGAAATTTTTTATCGATTAATTATTTCTTAATGATTACATGAAATATCATAAAAACATTGTAAAAAAATCAAAAAAGGTAATGAATTAAAATTAAAATACTTTTTATTGCCGTCATAAATATATAAAAAATATTGAAATCTTTGAAAGTTTTTTATACATTAAAATTAAAATATTAGTAACAAGATTATACTATATTACAAGATTATAATTAATGTTTATATTCGCCGTGTTGGATTTTTAATTATGACTAATAAATATATTTATTTAAGAAATATTTCTATATACAGAATTTGCCGAGACGCGCGATAACGATAATCACTACGCTTGCTCGTCGCTCATGCGTGTTCTTGTACCGGCAGCGCGTGCACAAGCTTAAGTATTTCCGAATTTTGACTACGAAGTTCCAACTTAGATTTAAATAAAATTTTGAATATCAAAATAAAAATGTACAGGCTTTCGAAAGATGCTAATTTAAAAGTAGTCCAAAGAGCCGCATTGGTAGGAAATGGAAAATGAAAAATTATTTTTACCTTTTCATGCTCTAACAAATAATTTTTTCACATTATTTGTTATAAACAATGTACACAAGATCAGTATAAATAGATTCACGTTAATATTTTTTCAATATCTTTCATATTTCCGACAGAAAGTGAGTTTGGAAAAAAAGAGCCACTTTCACATGTTTTCAATGATATCACGGCCAAATGATGAGCTAGAACAGCAATTTCCAACCTGTGGGGTGCGCCCCCTCATAAATATAAATATAATATAAAATAAATAGAATAGAAAGAGAAAGAGAAAGAGAAAGAGAAAGATAAAGAGAAAGAAAAGAAAGAGAAAGAGAAATAGAAAGAGAAGAGAAAGAAAAAAAAAAAAAAAAAAAGAAAAAAAAAAAGAAAGAAAAGAAAAAAGAAAAAAAGAGAAGAGAAAAGAGAAAGAGAAAGAAAGAGAACGAAAAGAAAGAGAAATAGAAAGAGAAAGAGAAAGAGAAAGAAAGAGAAAGAGAAAGAGAAAGAGAAAGAGAAAGAGAAAATAGAAAGAGAAAGAGAAAGAGAAAGAGAAAGAGAAGAAAGAGAAAGAAAAGAGAAAGAGAAAGAAAGAGAAAGAGAAAGAAAGAGAAAGAGAAAGAGAAAAGAGAAAGATAGATAATAGAGAAGAGAAAGAGAAAAAGAAAGAGAAAGAGAAAGAGAAAGAGAAATATAAATAGAAGAGAAATAGAAAGAGAAAGATAAAGAAAGAGAAAGAGAAAGAGAAAGAGAAAGAGAAACTAAAATATAATATAAATATCAATCTAAATATAAAATAAATATAATATAAATATAAATATAAATATAAAATAATATAAATATAAATATGAATATAAATATAGATATAAATATAAATATAGATATAAATATATAAAAAAGGGCCACTTTTACATGTTTTCAATGATATCTCGGCCAAATGAGCTATGACAGCGGTTTACAACCTGTGGGGTGTGCCCCCTCAGGGGGCGGAGCACTTGGCTGTTACAGGGAGGAACGCGTACGACACTTTCCAAAATACTATTATCGAAATTAAACCAAAATTTTTGAATTAATATAAACAATAAACGAAAAACTAATTATATTCAATTTTTACATAATATTGCATATTAATTTGTAGTCTGATAATATCAATTAAGTATTTATGAAATAAAATTGTTGAAAAAATTAAGGAGGAACAACAACTTTTTTTATTAGAGCAGAGGAGCGCGGTGCAAAAAAGGTTAAAAACCACTGAGCTAGGGAGTTGAAAATTACCAGGGTGGGACCGATTCTATATGGAAACACGCTCAAACCATTTATATCATTTTTATAAATCATCGTAAAAAATCAATCCTCTTTTTCAGTATTACTTTTCTTATAATTTGCTTATCAATATTTAAAGAGTACAAAAAAGTTAAAATTTTAAGAATTAGCAGTTGTTTAAGTGTGGCATCAAAAAGTTGTCACGTGACCACGCCCACGATTGCAAAAGAAAGGGTGAAGAAGAGGGTTATATCATGGCCGAACAGCGATAACTCAGAAAATAATTAAATCTTTAAAAATCCTCGCGTACACATAATCTTGAGTAGTTAAACTTTGAAAATATGAAAGAATAGAAAAAAAACTATTTTTCTGTATCTCTATACTAGCAAGGCAGAAGTGCCTGTTATAAAGATTATGGAAAAAATAGTATACCGATAAATAGCTCAGATATTAAAAGGCAAATTTCAATATGGCTCCTAACTTATAGGTTACAACTATAAATGTAATTGCAAACCATCAACCATATTTAAAACTGTTTATATTTATTGTAAAGGCAGCTCAGTTTGCTAAATTTGCATTTTATAAACTCATTGAATACATATTTATCTTGTACTTTGGTTTTCCTGACCATGATAACATTGCCCAATATAATGGATATAATGAATATATTGTCATATCTAATTCCTATAATAATGGAACTATTGTTCGCTCTGATCGAATAAAAACAATAACAATTTGAAATAATAACAATTCTTACCTCGATCTATTCATCAAACTTCTTAAAAATTCGCAGCGGCTCGCTGTTACAAAACACTAATGGCTGCCTCGACCGATACGATTTCTTTGTGCAAGTTCACAAAAATCGTAAGCTTGTGCAGAATATTTGCGCAAGCTTTCGATCTAATTGCGTACGTTACGTACACTTGCACAAAAACAGATTTGGACAAATAATCGTACCTTTTGGAGCCCCCGTAATTACACAATCGGATGTTTTTAGATGAAGCCTGATTAATACGAACGCAACAATAACAAATTCGACACCGGGTAGAGCAAGAAGTTAAACAATGAGCAATGCACAAGCCAATAGGAATAAATAAACACAAGCGAAGTTTGGCACAATACGTATATTATGTTGGCAATATGATGTCCACTTTGACAACTTAACGATATTCTTTATAATATGAGTCCGAGAATATATCCCCGCTTACAGCTGTTGACTGTGACAGCTGTCAAACGTACACCAATCACAATACCTCTTGCAATGTTTAAATTAAATATTGTTTTAAAATAAATTAACATTAAATATGTAAGTGCATTGTTCAATTTTATTCAATATTTTAAAATGAGTGATAATTTGGATGAGGAACTGATGGACGCAGTTCTAACTAATAGTTTTACGGAGATACCTATCTTACTAGATAGAGGTAAGATTTCTATTTAAAATATTATTATAGTATTATTGTAAATATTGATAAATACTTTGAAATTATAGGTGCAGATCCTTGCCGAATATGTTCTTCTGGACGGACTGCACTTGGGACCGCTGCACAGCAAGGAGATGTAATCCTAATAGAAATTCTATTGGACTGGTGCAAAATACCTAATGAGAGAAAAGCCACTTACAGAAGGAATTTGAAATCTAAAAAAGTAAGTCATTATGATGTACTTAATGAAAATATACATATTTATCAAAAGTCCATGCAAAATTTACTTACCTCAGTGTCCTGACTTAATTGAATATTTATGTACATGTATAGTCCACACATTTGAAATTTTTAATGTAATGTAAATTATTGTTTCTTTCTGGCAAATACAGTTTAGAGCAATCTGACAGTTTCAGGAATTTGAAGTTAGTTATTGAAGATTTAAAAATGTTCAAGTGGGATAAGAAATGCATTAGTCTTAATAAACTAGAACTTAAATCATTCAGAATTTTATTTACAGTGCTACTTTAGTAATAATAAAGTCCTTTTCAGGATTGTGCAGGTTCTATTTTTACCACAAATTGAGATTTGCTTGTAAAACTATTTGAAATGAAAAGCTATCCAGATTTTCCATTAGTGTGCTCTTATTTCTGCTTCAACTGTTAAATGATTTTTCTGCTAATTATGATAAAATAAATATCTGTATAGATTTTAACTTTAATTAAAAGTCCAGATTGTTAAGACTACAAGCTCTTTATTTTGAATAGAGTATTAATTCATTCATTCATTTAATTAAAATATCTTCAAATTGGTTGGGTACCTTTTATTTCTGAACAATAGAGAAACCCAATCTTGCAGAGCAGTTGTGACTGTGAATAATAATTGTGCATTCATATTTAGTTAACTTCTTGCTTTTCAGGAAAAAATATCTAGAAATTTATATACTTAAATAAATTTAATTCAACGATTAACTGAAATTGTTTACTCTCCAATTTACTCTATTGTTAACTTCCCGTAGGGTAATTCAATTTTATTCAATACATGCAAATCAGTTATATATAGTTAATTATATAGTAATATAACATAATAATGCAATCCTATATTATTTATACAAACACGCTTACATATGTACATAAATACACCTGCACATGCACCTATATGCAGACTCAAACATACTAGTAATGCTAACAAATTCTAATAAGTATTATTCTTTTTGACAACATTGATAAATAAAATAAAATTATGTGAGGAATTAAAAAAAGTTTAGTTGCGAGCACTGTTTATTGACCACCATTGCTGCTCTATTCATGGGACCATGCAATATATAGTTTTTGTGGTTTTGAAGTCGGCACAATATGGTTTGTTCTTGGTCCTTGTCTCGGGCTATGTTATGCCAGTTTATATCTGAAAATTGGTTATGATATTTATTCTTCAGCGTTTTCTCCAGAATTATCCAAAATCGTTAATAAGAACAATATGAATTTAACCCTTCCACTATTTATATAGTGCATGTCGTACTGTGATTTATTCATAAAACACTAAAATATTGATAATTTCATGTATATTTCTTTATCACATATGAAGAATAAATGAGAAATAATATTTTTTCAGCATCATCCAAACGTTAACCAAGGATATTATATAATGGTACATGATAACAATGACAATTCTGCAAATGTTACCCCGGAAGGAATGGAAGCTATGGCATGGGATGAAGAATTACAAAATAATTCACTAGGCGAAGCAGCCTCAAATAAAACAGAAGATGAATGGGCATCACTGTATCGGTAATTTAAATGTAATGTGTGGAGTTAAGAAATATTTTGCTTGGTAATAGTTTTAAACATCAGTATCTATAGACTTCATGAAAGAGTTATTCTTAACTTTTGGTAGCTTTATGAAAATAATTCTTTAAAAAAAATAATTAGGTGGTATGCATGTATATTGGAAAGGACTGCAACTTTAATAGAAACCGGTGGCCCAGAATATAAACCTGATTCACTTGACGCTTTTCGAAAGAGTCCAATGCACTATGCTGCTGAGCAGGGCCACTCAGATGTAATTAAATTATTAGTGCGCGCAGGTAAATAGTTAAATATTATTTATATAGATAGGTGAACAACATTATAGTAACTTTAGAATATGTTCATTTTCGTTTAAGGTATTAATGTAGATCCAATAGAAGTAGATGTGAATACCCCTCTTCATATAGCTACTTCTAATAATCATACTAAAGCAATGCTAACATTGCTTGAAGCTGGTGCATTGCCTAATAAAAAATCAATTGATAAAAATACTGCTCTTCATATTGCTGCTAGTCGAGGTTTCAAAAATGCGGTAGATATTTTTGGATATATTTACTTTCAGTTATTTTCAAAAGACATCAGCAAGCTAAAAATTCTACTTATATTACAGTGTGAAATTTTGTTGAGATTTGGTGCATCCGTCGATGCACTGGATAGTTCTGACAGAACACCCTTGTTACTGGCTGTAAACCGAGGCCATGAAAACGTTGTTGAGATACTTATAAATAGAGGTGCACGAGTTAATGCTGAAGAAATACATGGTGAGTATTATACAGTGTTAACCTGCAAGCTTTTTAATTGTTTTCAGTTATACTTGTTGGAAACATTTTACAACTTAATATAGTAGACAATATTGCTCAACAGAAGCTTAGTCTTTTTTTACAACACTACACCTGTATTGATAATTATTATATTTTAGGTTACACACCATTATGTGAAGCTGTATGGCAACAAAATGCCAATATCGTTTCAAAATTGCTATCCAATGGAGCCAGAGTAACACAATCCCATAGATTATTACATTATTGCGCACACAATCGTTGTGTATCAATTGCTAAAATGCTTTTGCAACATGGAAGTGTATCTAATTTACGAGATGATACTGGAGATACGCCATTATTAATAGCGGCAAGAACAGCACAACTGGATTTTGTAGAATTACTTCTCCAAAATGGTAAATATTAATTGTTTTTACAAGTTCTTTTCCATGCCTCTAGTAAAGTCTAATGCGCTCAAAAGGTTACATAAACAAACTATTAATTAACTAGTTGTAAGTAGCATTTTGCATTAAAGCAAAAATTGCGTGAACTTTCCGGTACTTGTAAATACAGTTCCTTATTCGAGCTTCTTTCCTTCAGGAAGTTAAAGAAAATCATTAAACAATACTGTGTAACCTCAACAATATAATTTTTCGCAAATACCCAACTTCAGGTACATATAAATTTTTGTATCTATCTACCTAATCTTCAATCCTTCCATTCTTCAAATCCTTTCCCATTGATTGATTTATTGGTAGTCATCTTATATTTCCACCATGAGAGCTCTACTTTTTCCTCGTCCTTTGATTTTAAAACATGACTGAAGATGTACTCTATGCAGTAACGCATTAACTGAATCTTTAAAATCTTAACTAGGAGCATCGGCAACATGTAGGCACGGTATAACTGGTAGCACAGCACTGCATGAGGCTGTTGAGGGATGCTGCACTGCTGTAGAAGTATTTCACAGAATTTTATGTACACTCAGAAATTATGGTGCAAACTTAAATGCACAGACATTATGTGGTGGCGAAACTGCACTGTATCGAGCTTTGCTGAGTGACTATGATGATATAGCTGAGGTAACTGGATAGAATTCAAGATTAGAATAAATAGTAAATTTCTTTATAATAATAATTAATAAAAAAAAAAATTCAGGTACTAATAAAAGAAGGCGCTGATGTTGAAGTGTGTGATTTGCAAATGTGTATTGTGGATAATTTAACTCTCGCTCAAAAGAGAGGAAATTTGCGTATAGTTAAATTACTAGGTAAGAAATTACACATATTGGTATTCCATTATTTAGTACCTGAAGTAATAATTTAGAAGTAACTTTTAAATGTAATATCATTTAACATTTTAGTTTATTCTGGATTTACCTTAAGAACGCTAAGACCTTCAACAACCCAAAAGATTGAATATCCGCAAGCTTGGGAGCACTCAGAGAATCCATCTGATTGGTTGCTTTTCACATCTACACGTCCCTTTCTTTGGCTGCATTGTGCAGAATTAAAATACGACAAATGCTAGGTCCAAACGGCCAAAATTTGCACAAGATTAGGCAGTTAGGATTTCCTAGATGTATAGAAAACTATTTGTTCTTGAATGACATATGATGGGGGGCTATACAGGATTAAAACTTGTGATTAATTATTAAAGACATCTAGAGAATTATCTTAGCTATATTTTCACTTACTGTTGTTTGAAACAAGAAAAGCCAAAGTCATTGAGAACATTGTCCAAGACTCAAATTATATTTATATCCAGAGTATTATATATTTAATTTATAGAAAATAGATTATTCCTTTAGGAAAAATGTTTCATGATCCGCATATGAGAATATTTATATTAAATATTTTCCGCAAATAGAAAAAAAGTTATAAACTACTATTTTGATAGTGTTACCAATAAAGCAATATATATAATCATTACAATAAAAATCTGTTTTACATTCATAAATTTAGTATTTTGAATATGAGCTTAATATTTATAAAACTTGTGAGC